TGCACCACCCCACATGAAAACACCCCCCGGTGAGCTCCTCGCCGGGCCCCGCTGCCCCACCAAGCTGCAGGGGGGCTCCTGTTCCTCCCTTCCCTCGGTCCCACAGCCCAGCTGCAGACCCGGGGTCGTTTGGGTGCTGGGACACAGGCACAGCCAGCAGGAAAGGAAGCATTTGACATCCAAATGTGTGCCCCCAAATCCTCCATCTGTGAGAGACCAGGGTGCAGAGCCAGGGCTGACCCTGCCAAAGCGCAGCACGGAGAGCATCACGCTGCCGTCTGCACCTTGGGGTGCTGGGGAGTGCCCCCAGGACAGGAGGAGCAGGATGAGGCTCAGACCCCTGCTGAGAGCTGTGAGTGCTGCAGCGCTGCGGGATCATCAAATCGGGGCTCCAGCAAATCCCACTGCACAGGCCACATTCCTACACCTGCCCAAAACTGATACCAAAACAAATAAAAGAAGTTGACAGACCGCTGATACACAAGGGGGGGGAGCAGACTTGGAGGCACAGGGCTAGGACTGCCCCGTCTGCAGCAAGGCAACGGGGCCAGAGCCCCCCAAACAGCACAGACCCCGAGATGCTGCACAGCCCTGCACCACGGAGAGCTGCAAGAAACGCATCCAGCTCCCGAAAAGGCACTCCACAAAAACACAGCTTTCAGCCCACTCCTTTTACCAAAGCCCCAGTGCCCAGAACCGTCAGGGAAAAACAGCCTGAAAAATTTGATTATTTGTGCACATTTGCCCCATCCCCATCTCCAAGGTGCTGCAGCTGCTCCCGTGCCCCCCGCGTTGTCCTCGCACCGAGTCCACCCAGCCCCGCGACACTCGATGCCGGCGAGCCCGGCGCTATCAATAATGCAGCGGGGTCAGCGCCAGCGCGGGGCCACCGGCTTCCCCGCAGCTCAGCTGCACGCCAGCCTCTGCCTCTCGGATGGGATTAGCACGCTAATCCCAAAAGAAAGCCCAGCTTCAGCTCCTTGGGCTGGGCTCCAGCCGTGACAGAGCCCTTTGCCCATCCCGTGCACCCCTGGGTGCTGCCTCCCTGCCTCCTTTCGGGAATTTTCTCTTCTCCAGCATGGGCCGGGGGAGCTGTGCTCCCATCCCAGACCCTCGGATGGACACAGCAGAGCAGCACCCAGCTGCTGTGGGCATCGCTGGGCAGCAGCTCCAGTGCAGAAAGGGCTTCACAAAGGTTTTTAGAAAAAAAAAAAGACAAGGTGGATATATGCCTGCTTTTTCAGCCAGGGTGGTGGCATACACAGCCACATTGGAGAGGTTTATCTGAGCCTTGACCCATGCCTCAGCCCCAAACAGGGGAACCAGGGACTCGTCCTGCTGTCCCTCTGGTCACAGCCAGCCCCTGGGGACCCAGGGAGCACAGGATGCTGCAGGGAAGTGCTTTGGTTTAAGCCAAAAATTTATTTATTTTTTTTAAATTGCATAATTACTGCAGACATTTCTGCTCATGTTAGGTTTTATTACATCTCTGTGGTTATTCTACAAGCCCTAAATTTTGGGCCTCAACTGAGCTGGCAAAGCTCTCCGAAAACATCTGTCCCGAGTTATTCCTCTTCCAGCGCTCCGGCAGAAAGCTGGCGGCAGGAGATGTTGCAATGCGGAGTTTTATTTGCAGCAGAAACAAAAGTTCTTGTGCCTGACCCAAACAGAAGGGTAAATATTTACTGCCCCATGTCAGCGCTGCCCCACACCTGCGGGTCCCCGAGCCCACGCGCCCGGCCCTGCTCCTCCAGGACACGGCGTGGCCGTCCCCAGGTCCCCGCTGCTGAGTGTGGGATGGGCCCGTGGCACGCACCAGGCTCAGCTCAGCGCCTGCTCGCTGTCACAAAGGGCCCCCCAGGGGGGTTGCCCATTTTCCTGTTCGCTTCATGGCTTGTGGTTCTTGCCAGGCTCAGGCGGGGGCCAGACAAAACCCAGGCACTGATTCCCCCCCATGTTAAAGTTCCCAGCAGAGGAGAACAGGCTGCTTGAATCCAGAAGCTAAACAAGATGCAGGCTCAGTTTCCAAAAGATAAGTGATTGTTGTCACAGCCCCTTTGCATCCCCAGCCCCCAAATTGTGCTTTGGTGTGACCAGAACAACACGGGAACTGCATCACCCCAAACGCCTCTCCGGGGCCTTGTTCTTGTTTCTCCTGCAAACACAGCTGGAGCACGACCAGGCAGCAAGTCCCAACAGGAGCAAACCCCCCAGGACGCTGCTAACGAGCACATTGTGGCTAAAACAGGGACCCAGGCTCTGCTGTGCAGCGTCCCCCAGGGAGCAGCAGGGTGAACCGAGCCACGGGCAGCCCCAGCCCCCAGCTGCCCATGCCCCATAGCACACGGGCAGCCCGAGCATTTCACACCACCACCAACTGCGCCGTCCCAAAGGCACCTTGGCAATAAAAGCAGCTCAGAGGAACGCAGCCCCCGACGCACCTGAACAGCCCGAGCAGAGCTGGGAGCTGCCCTCCACCACAGCGTGCCCGCTGCCTCCAAAATCCCATGAGCCCTGGGAACAAGGGGACACGAGGACAAGGAAGCCCAGGGACAAGGAAGCAGCACCAGCACGGCACATTCGTGGGGCTCAGCCCTTCTGTCAGCACCGCTCAGCCTGGGTCACACCTCACCTCCCCACAGCTTTGTTTGCCTGCAGGGCAAATTGCATTGCAGAGCCAAGGCAGGCATTTTGAAAACAAGCCTTTCAGAATATTTGGGTACTCAGAGGTGTCCCCTCCAGCACGGGGGACACAAACCAGGCTCAGAGCAGCAGGATGGGGCCACGCAGACCCCGCTCCCAGAGCCACCAAGTCCCCGGGTGCCGGGGACAGCAGCGCTCCGATGGGCGCACGCTGCTGGCAGCCAGCCCTGCTCTCAGGGCAGGCAGCCTGATTTTAAATACACGCTGAATTATTCATCGTGCTACAGTGCTTGCTGGAGGCACAGGGGCCTGGACACCGGGTCGCTGCCGGGGTGCACGTTAACCTCAATGCCCAGAGCCACCGCCACTTCTCACCCTGAAGGGGAAGGCAGCAGCAGGGGGGGGCTGGCAGGGCTCTGCCCACTGCATCGCCCCCCCACTGCCCACGGCTCGGCCACCCCGTGCTGCCAGATTTCCCTCCTCGTTCTTCCAGCTGCTCCTTGCTTTAGGCTGCACTGATCAACCTGGCCTCACATAAAGCAAAGCTGCAGCTTTTACACAAACAAATGTCACCAGCGCAGCCCCATCCTGCCCCAAGCATCAGCCCTGGCCCCCACAGCAGCAGGTCGAGGCCGTGGGCCTGCAGGAGAAGCAGAGCTGCCACCTCTCCTTCCCTGAGCACCTCCAGGGAAGGACACAGAAGCACCAGCCCAGGCCCAGCTTCTCCTGGTGCTGCTGAGCCCAGCTCCTGGCCCCTGCCAGATGTGGTTTAGGGGTCTCTAATGGGATCCCAGCTGCCACGGCCCCACAGCAGGCCCATCAGCCTGCCCCAAACCCAGCATCAGAGGGGCAGCTCTGCCTTGAAGCAGGCAGGACAAGGCCCAGCAGGGCCCCACAAGGCAAAGCCACTGCGGGTCCCTTTGTCCAGCTTGGGCACTGCATCTGCTGCACGGCCCCAAACGCAGCCCCATGCTGTGTGCTCCCCCTGGCCGTGTCCCATAGGCACCCCCCCACCTCGCACCCCAGCTCTCTCGGCTCTCCCTGTCCCACCCTCTCCTTGGAGGGAGCTGAAACCCAAAGGCCGGAAAGGACCGGCCCGTTCCCCGCGCCCGACTTCCCGTCAGCACAAACTGCTGGATTTCACCCAGCTACAGAAACAGAGACAGGATAGGAAACCCCCCAGCCCGGGAAGCCGTGCCCAGCCGCTCCCACCGCGGCCCCACTCCCCCCAGACCCCTTCCCTTCCCTCTGGCTGTCCCGGGGGAGCACACAAGCCCCCCCACGGTGCTGACCTCCATCCTCACAGCACACAGCCTCCAGCCCATCCTCCCCAGGCAGGGCAGCCCCCCCAGGGCAGGCACACCCCTGTGGGACAAAGGCAGCCCTGAAAGGAAGGGCTGCAGGCAAGACCCCCCCAGACCCACATCTCCGTGCCTCCTGCCCCCCTGCCATCACACTTCCACGGGGGGGATTTCCTCAGCTGGGGGGGCTCCTGAGGCCACGAAGCTGCTAGAGCTGAATTTAGGAGCAGGGAAAGGCTTGCTCCAAGCAGAGCCCCCCCCAGCCAGTGGCAGGAGGGCTCGCACAGCCCCAGCTGCAGGTTTCACCCCCCGGGTGAGTGGGGTGGGCGCAGGATGGGGCCAGCCAGCTGCACGGCGGTGGCTGTGATGTCTCGGTCCCACGCTGCTCCTGCCACGCTCGCACCCCGAGCGAGGAGGGCGCCGGGCCGAGCACGCTGCCTATCTGCGAGTGCAAGGCTGCGCCGTCACCGCCAGCCCAGCCCCAGCAGGGGAGCCAGCCATGGAAACTGGACATCTTCCACCTCAAATTCTTTCCTTTTTGGAAAGGAGCTTACCAATAAAAGGCACTTACTGCAGAATCGCAGCCCAGACCCAGGCCACTTGAAAAAGAGCTAATTTCCTTCCTATTTAAGCAAAAAAAAGCTGAGAACACGTTCGACCAGATGTTCCCTCCCTCCTAGAAATAACAGAGGCAAAAGGGGCAGCTCCACCAAGCCCCGGGTCTGTGCTGCCCGTCCCCATGGGCCGGGGACACAGACCTCAGCCAGACCCCATGGGACACTCGCCCCCAGGGCTGGGGGACCCCCCCAGACCCTCTGCAGCCCCTGTGACCCTCCAGGAGTGCAGGGAGGGAGAGGCCAGCACAGCACCAACAGCTGATGCTGCTTCAAGCAGAGCAGATGAGGCCACGGGGCAGCTCACCCACAGCTCCAGGACACACAGCAGGGTCCCCAGACCCAACAACCACATCCAGAAGATTTTTCTCATGGGAAGCAAACCGTGCTCGTCCCAGGGCAGAAATATCCTGCCACCCAGCCCCGCCAGCCCTGCGCTCACCTTCCTGCTGCCGTGCGAGGAGAAGCTGTGCGAGTGCCGCTGGAGGCTGCCCCCGCTCAGGTCCAGCTGCGGCTTCCAGACCTCCCCATTGTCACTGCCCACCGACTTGGTGGGCGAGACGCCAGAGCCCAGCAGGACCCCGCTGTGCACCATCTCCTCCGTGCACGTCAGGCGCAGGCTGCACAGGTACTCGTCCGTCTCCTTGTCCACCACCAGCAGGCGAGTCTCTGTCTCCACGGCTTTGATGCGCTGCACGACCTGCAAGGGAGGGAAAGAAGTGAGCAGAAACCCAGGGACCCCCACCAGCTGGGGCAGGAGCTGCACCCGAGGACCCCCAGCCTCGCCACTTGGGCCCCCAGTCCTTGAAGCCCCTGCAGCTTCAGCCTTGCTACCACCTCTGTGGATGCTGGGGAGAGGGGCAGATCTTTGGGAGGGCCAGGATGGCACATCTGCAGCCCCTGGTGACAAGTGACAACTCCTTCCAGCCCAACCCAAGGGACAAATCTGCCCAGGGCAGCTGCACGCACATCGCCTGGTGTCACCCCTCTGCCCAGAGGCCACACTGGGCACCAAGCATCACAGGTCCTGCTCCCTGGCTTTGTCCCTTGGAGGGGGAGCACAATCTGTCCCACTACACAACCTGCCCACACACCCCCTTCCCTTTATCTGGGGCCTCCTTCTCCCCCCAAACCCAGGGGTGAGCCAGAATACCCAAGGAGGCACCGTGAAGCAGCGCACACACGCGGTGCCCCAGTTGCTTTGCGAGGCTCCCCCCTCCCCAGGAGGATTCACAAAAGAAACAATCTGATCTGCATTCATCCTCTCCTGCGCTACCGGACAGCGGAGATAAGAGAAACCAGCACCAGGAGCTGGGCCCGTCCCTGCTGGTATCCAGCTCCAGGCCCTGCTGAATAGGGGCCATTGTCCTCACACAGCCTTGCCTTTTTTTTTTTTTATACATTTTTTTGTGACTGCAGCTCCTCTGAAAGGAGCTGGCGGTGTCAGCCCAGCGGGGAGGAAGGGGAGAGCCGGGCAGATCGCACGTGGGAAAGTGGAGAGCTGCTCAGCAGCCCTGGAGGAGCCGAATCTGGCATGTGAGGGGCACAGCACAACGGGGTGGGCACGGGGCAAACCGAGGACATGAGCAAGGGGCAGAGAAAACCTCCGGGACTCCCTGCCAGCAGCCTCAGAGCTCTGATGGGGCAAACACCTCCTCCTCCCTGCATGGCCTTCATCCCAGGGATGAGGATGGGTCCTGATGCTGCTCAGCCGCCGTCCCCAGCTGCAGGGGGCCGCTGGCCACCGCTCGCTGCCCCACAGCCCCACACGGCCCCAGGAGTGCTGGGAAAGCCCCGAAGCAGTGCAGGCTTCCTCACAGCGCTCCTGCTCTGATCTAGGTCATGCTGGCCAGACACGCTGCAACCGCCAAGGTTAGAAGTGACAAATGAGCCTAATGTGCAATTAGCCAGCATTTATTTACTCCCCTGCAAGCTCCATTCAAGGTCAACAGACCCGGTATCTGCAAATGAAAAAAAAAAAAAAACAACCAAGAGGAAATTTATAGACTGCAGACAAGGCTGCCTGTCCTCCACAAACCAACGAAGCCCTCCAGCCCTGCGCCAGGCGGCAGCTTGCCCGGGGCTCCCATCCATAACCAGCCTGAAGGGTGCTTCTCTGCCGAGCCCCAGAAAATCCATCTGCTCCTTTTCACATCTATTTATACGCGGCATCAGGCGACGCTGCTGACACCGGCAAGGCAGCACCTGAGCGGAGCCACTTCTCCAGGAGGGGATCCGGGAGCAGGCAGCCAGCAGCACGCTGTGGCAGGAGAGGCAGCACCAGGGAGCTCCATGGGGCTGGGAGCGGGGCCGGTCCCTGCAAGCACCACGTGCGGGGGAACTGCAGGTGCCAGAGCGCGTTCCTCAGAGCTGCTGCACAGAGCAAAGCGTTCTCCTTTTGGAAAGCCCCAGCGCTGCTGCTGCAGCTCAAGCACTGCACAAGCTGCACCACGCTCTGCTGCAGTCAGCGCTGGGGGGCTCGCACCACAAGACACCCCCAGCGAGCTCCCAAACCAGCTGCAACCTCATGACAGCAGAGGAGAGAGAGAGAGCAGAAGCACCCTAATGCACTGCAGGTGCCATAATGCACTGGCTATGGCACTGTGGCCCAGATGCCCCCCAGCTCCACACGGGCACAGCAGCAGTGGAAGCAGCATCCTGCCAGCCCCGTTCTGGCACTGCCACAAGTGCTGAGGGCTGTGCTGGGACAGAGCAGGCACAAATCCCCTCCCTCCATGCCAGAAGGCCTTGCCATGACGAGCCAGCTGGGCAGCGAGGTGCTTTGGAGATGGAGCAGAGCAGCAACCAGGTGCAGAGCCCAGTAACCTACCCGCCTCCGAGCCATGGCCACCACCTCACTCGCAGCTTTTCTGAAGGCAACTCAGCCTCCCCGACACATCCGGACCTTCCCAGAGCTGCTCCCAGCCCCACATCCTCCGCGGCTCCACCCAGACCGGCTCCCACCCCGGCTGCACCAGCACCAGCCTGGCGGAGCCCGCTGGACCCGTCCACTCCAAGCAAACCCCAGCTGGCTGGGAAGGAGACCCACAGAGATGGCACAGTTCCCCCTCCTGCTCTGGGTGTGATGCCTCCACCCTCACACAGCTCTTACATCCCCATGGGGGACCTGGAGGCTTTCTTGCACCACCTTTTAACAGCACCACTTGGTCATCTTTGCGCTCACCTCGCTGGTGCAGACACTTGTAGAAGGAGGGCTGGGCACAGCTCTGCTCACCCGCCGGGAGGAGGCAAGCGAGCAGCCCGGACACGGTTCTCATCCCAGATGGGAACAGGACGCCCTGAGAACACGTCCTGCCTTCGCTCCTTGGGGAAGGCCGTGGAAACAGAGCACAGACGCAAATATCATCAAGTTCAGCCCGAAACATAGTTGCACCACATAGCGAGGCCTTGTGTGCTCCTGGCTCTGTCCTGCCACAGCTTCAGATGCGCTTGGAGAAGCGCTCAGCCAAGGACAAGGACTGTAACAGCACCAGGAGAGGCCATGGCGAGCCTGGCTGCTCTCAGCCATCCACAGGAGCCAACATTTAACCACCACATCACCCACCTGCCTCCACGCTCAGGCATTGATGACCCCGCAGTGGGAGCACTTCAGGACAGCGAGCTCCATGACAGCCCGGGTGGGATGCTCCATCCATACTCCATCCCATCCCACCCCACAGCAGGCTCAATCCTGCCTCTGCCAGCTGGAAATGGAAGAAGGAAAATCTCTCCATTTCTCTTTACCTACAAGCCCCCCCGCACGTTTCAGGGACACGTGCCGCTGTCTTGGCGCTATCGCTCACTCCCCAGCATCCGATTTTCAGCAGGGAGCTCTGCTGGCTTCCAGTGGGGGACAGCAGCCCAGCTCTCTGCCCAGCTACATCAAAGACATGGATCCTCCTTCAGTCACATTCAAGACAAACATCAACTTTTACACAGCTGGCTGAGATCATCAAAACAAGCTAAATTAGCATGAGAGACCCCAAAGCCCACAGAGAGGAGCCCAAAGAGCTTTCCTGGAGTCACCTAAACTGGCCATGATGCCCCAGAGGGCTCTGCCTTGCCCTGAGCACACCAACATCCATGCCAGCAGGGGAAACCCAGAACCCACACACCCCCAAAACACCACCGGGGCTGCAGCCTGCACCAGCCACATCCCTGCTTGGCCCCGATAAAGCTCCAGCAGCGGGTGCCAGGCGCGTGCTTTAAGTTACTACAACACTACACCCCGCAGAGCCCTGCAGGCCACAAGGCAGATGGGGACACTGGGTGCTGTGCCCCTGCAAGGGACAGCGGCTCCAGCCAGCCCGGAGCAGCCCCAAGCTCCCCGCCTGTTTTCTGGACAGGGCTGTTTAACAAACACGAGTTTTGATTTTATAAACAGAAAAGGACAAGGCCTGAAGCACGCAGCTTCTGCAGCAGAGCTGGGAAGCAGCTCGCTTGGATCCCCCCCAGCTGCGGCCACGGTCTCCCCCCAGATATTATTCCCCTACCAGCCCTATCTCACTTAAGCCACCCCAACTGCTGAACGCCTGCAGAGCTTTATCAGTAGATTTGGAGGCATCCTCGCCCGCTCCGTGCTGCAGAAGGAGCTTGCCCAAAGTGGCCGAGGGAACGCGGAGCAGAGCCGGAAACACAGCCCGGCTCCCCCGGCTGCTTTTCGCCAAGGATTGCATAACGCAGTGGTGCCCAACCGTGCCCCAGCACCTTCACCTTCCCCCCCCTCGCCCACCCGACGGGCTGCTGGCACCCCTACCCCAGCCCTGCACGGCACGGGCACGGCACAGCCCCCCTGCTGCTCCGGGGGGGGGGAGAGGCTGCATCCCCTAACAGATGTAGCCCGGCACCGGGGGGCACCCAGCGCGCCCCAACCCCCCGGGACCCTCCCTTGGGGACATTTGGGGAGCCCTCCCCCTCTCCTCCCGACCCAGCCCGTTCGCGGAGGCCCGCACGGGGGTGGGTGCTGGGTATGGGGGGGAGGAGGGGGGGTCGCGGGGGTCCCGTGCCCGGACCTGGTGGTGCGTCTCCTGCTCCACGTTGAGCCCGTTCACCTCCACGACGCGGTCCCCGGCGCGCAGCCCCGCCGCCTCGGCGGGGGAGCCGGGCTCCACTTTGCGGATGAACTGCCCGCTTTTGCCCTTCTCGCCGTGCAGGTGGAAGCCGTAGCCGTTCTCCCCTTTCAGCATGTGGCACAGCCGCGGTTTCAGCTGGTCCTTGGCCATGGCCGGGCCGGCGGAGCGGAGCGGAACGGAGCGGGGCGGGGGCGGCCGCGGGGCCCTTTTTATGCGCGGCGCGGGGCGGGCGCGGGGCGGCGGGGAGCGGAGGGGCGGGACGGGGCCGGCAGCGGGGCCGGGGCCGGCTCGGGGGCTGGGGTTTGGGCTGGGATTGGGATCGGGGCTGGGATTGGGGCCGGGGCCGGGGCTGTGCGCAGCGCGGCCATGCTGCGCGCTGCCCGCGGCGCCGGGAGCAAGGCGGGCGGGGAGGGGACGGCCACCGGGAACGGGGACGGGGACGGGCGGGGAGAGGCGGAGCCGGAGCTGGGGACGGGGATGGGAACGGGGACGGAGCGGGCGGAGCCGGGAACGGAGCTGGACGGAACCGGTGGAGCCCCCCGGGGCCGATGGAGCGGGGGCGCACGGAGCGGGGATGCCCGGGGGGCGCGTGGAGCGGAGCCGCCTGGGGCTGTTGGGGGCTGAGCGGGACCCCCCGGGGCTGAGCGGGATCCCCCGGGGCTGCTGGGGGCTGAGCGGACCCCCCAGGACTCTGCTCCGGTCCCCCTTGCCCCCACCCTCGGCTCAGCACAGAGCCCCCGGGCTGCAGGGAGCGGGACCCCCGAGGGGCCAGGGCCGGAGCCCCGCAGCCCAGCCTGGCCCTGCAGTCGCCCCTCTGCCCTCCAGCCCTGCGAGGAGCACCCCGACACGGGAGGGAAGCTGGAGCTGAGCCCCTGAGCCTGAGCTGCTGGGTGCAGAGTGGGCAGGATGCAGCCCGGCCGCTCTGCCCACCCTGCAACAGCCCTGACTGCGGGGAGATGCAGAGCTCTTTGGGGGCATCTCTGATCCAGCCAGTCCGGCACATGTGGAGCTGCCCACTGATGTGGGCATCCCTTCACATGAAGGAGCTCAGAAATGGGGTGCTCAGCTCCATGCTGAGGACCAGCCCCAGGGCCAGCTGCCACAGGTGTGTCCTTCCCAAGTCCTATTCACCTCCATTTCTGCAGGGCACCAAGTTCTTCCCAGTGATCTCCCCAGCTTGGTACACGTGTAACTTCTGGCAAATGTTTTGTGTCCCCCAAATACCAGGCCACAGGGATGGGGGTTATGAGCTTGCAGGCCTGCAGCTCCGTGAGCAGCATTTCTGGCAGGAGAGCCTCTTGCTGCAGCCCCCATGCCTGGCTGAGCAGCCGTCCAGGTCCCCCTGTGGAACACGCTTGCTCTGGTGGAAAACAGAGATTCCCATCTTTGCCCCTTCGAATCCCTGATCTTCATTTCCTTGAAATCTGCAAGGAGGAAATGACCCAGATTAGTTGTCCCAGAGCTGGTGCTGCCGTGTCATGTTCCCAGCTCACAGGTTTTCTAGCTCTCCTCCGTGGCATTTCTCCCGCCCCAACTGCTTTCCTAGCAGATTTTTATAGAGCTGAAGCAAACGCAGTGGCCAGCTTGAGGTGGTAAATAGAACTCTCCAGAGGTGAATATTGAGTTGCTTTTAATTTGCAGTCTGCTTAAAATAAAATAAAATGAAATAAAGACTTCCACTAAAGTTCTGCATGAAACTGCAAGGTGTTGGACCCAAAAAGATGCTTGCTGACGTGTCTGCACTGCTATCCTGGAAAAAAAAAGGCATTGCTGTTCTCTCCGGGACTTCCCACCCCCGTTTCCTACAGGCAGAACGGGCAGCGGGGTGGTGCACAAGGAGGGGCAGCTGTCACTGGGCGCAGACCCCCGGGACCCCCGGTGGGGGCACAGCCCCCCAGGAGCTCTGGGATCTGTGGCCGAGGTCTCGGTGCCGGCCCCACACCGCCAGGTTTGCTCCCTGCAGCGCTGCAGAAGCGCCGAGCCCTGCGCAAAGCCTGCGGTGACATGAGAGGAGGCCGGCGAGTCGGGGAACTCGGAGACCATTTCATTTGCTGTATAACATAACTACTCCCCTGAGCCTCTTTGTGGAGTCCTGAAGCTTTTTTTTTTATCAGGCTAGAGGAGTGCGAATAATTGATTTTTCCACTCAGTGGCCAAACCAAAAAACTGGAGGGAGGGGGAGAGGAGAAGGAATTGTTTCAAGTTTATTTGAACAAAAAAGTTATTCTTTTTATTCAGCGCAATAAAAGCACAAGTGAGAAAATCTTTTGGGTGGTCAGACAGAACATTTTAACCCTTTGGGGCATTTTTTTTAAAGTGTTGGTGGCTTGTAAAGCAAAAAGGGGGGAAATATCATTTCAAAGAGCTGAAAACGGAACGTTTGCATTTTCCCAAAATGCTTATTTTTTAACTTAAATATTTTCTAAAGTATGACCTGAATTTGTCGACATTTTTCAAACTCATCATCCCCAAAAGGCATCCAGCTTCATGGAAAGCAGTTGGAAAGAACCTGAAACCACGTTGTGCAAGTCTTCACCCTCGCACAGTACAAACCCCCCCAGTTCTTGGTGTAAGCTTGCCGCTTCCCAAGCCACAGCCACCCATTTGTGGCCCATCAGAGCCAAAAAGAGGGGAAACCATGGGGGGGTTCCCACACCTTCTGGTACCACAGAGCCGTGATTAGACTCAGCAGACACCTCACAGATGGTTTTCCCTTCCACATACCTCTCTGGGTGTTGATTCATGCAAATAGCTACGTCCTAATTGGGCTCACCCGAAAGCTGGGGAAGTTTTCGGGACCCGTGTGCTAATTGACCTGGGAGGGTCTGAGGCTCCTGGTTTGACACCTGCCTGTAATTCATCCCTGCGTGAAGCCGTGGCACGGGGTCACACCTGTGTGCCAACGCTGTTTGCTTTCGGCCTGGCAGGTTGTGTAACCTCCTCAAAACACACACACACGCTCCAAAAGTTTCACAACGGCAGAAATGCGGGCGGACGGGCAGGCTCCCCACACTGGAGATGGATCTCTAAGGCTCATAGCTTAAGGCCTGCCTTATATTCACAACGTGGCAAAAAATCGGCTGCTCAACCCGAGCCTGCTCCCGCTGGCTCATTTTGAGCTGGTGGAAGGGCGATCGGATGGGGGTGGAGGGAGTTTTTCCAAGGCTGGTGATGGAGAGGGAGGGCTTGTGCAATGTGCCGCCTCGCTTTCTCCAGGTCTCTGTGTGTGGCACTATTGAGCCGTAAACAATTTCCAGGTGAGATTTATAGGGATAGCAGAATTAATCATCGGGAGGATTAATAACACGCCTTGTGGGTTGCAAAAGTCCGGGCAGCTCAGCTCAGCTGTGCTGCCGGGAGCTGGGGGTGCCTGTTTCACAGGCTGGCAGATAGGAATCTGCCCGAGCCCTTTGTTATTTGCAACCAGATAACAGAGCTGTGGGTGCTGTGCCAGACGGCACTTGGCATCGTGCAGGGACCTGGTTGCTGACAGCCCATCCCAGTCCGAAGAATACCTGTGTGTGTCTGCTGCAGAACATGGAAAATACCAACTAGTGTTCCCAGGAAGATATCCGTCACTCTCCCCACTTGTTTGCCCCTATCATTCCAGCACTCTAAAAAGGAAAATTGGGCACTGACATTTCCAGCCAGGGCCATGAATGCCCACAGGTGGGTCCCAGACCCTCACTCAAGGCTGTGCACTCCCTGGATTCAGCGAGTCCGTCGGGATGCCCGCTGCCTCTCCCAGATGCTTGCAATTACCACCCTGCTCAATTCAGTCCAGCACCAGAGACAACAGGCTCTGCTAGCAAGTAATTAGCCCTGTTCATTTTATTAAATAGCCAGGGCAGCATGCTAATTGCATGCTTTGCTTCAGGCTCAGTAAATCGGAACTGCAAGTGGATGTAAGAGAGAGCAGCACCGAGCCCTCCAGCGGGCTCTGGAACACCCATTCCTGGGAGCACCCATCCCTGGGAGCTTCCACCCCAAGAGCTTCTACCCCAGGAGCACCCACCCCATGGGCACCCATTCCCGGGTGCACCCATCCCCAGAGCACCCACCCCGGGCGAGGCTGGTTCCGGAGCAGTGCCGGTGCCCACGTCTGCGGAAATAGCAGCGTGGCCGGGGGGGAACTCCCCGGGCAGGAATGCATCCATAAGGTCACTGCTGGGCCCAGCCAGGCTGGCAGTGCTGCTGCTGGATGAAAAAGTCATCATTCAGCCACACCATGGATGGGCATGGGGCCGGCAAGGTGTTCCCTAGCCCTCAGGATGGGAGCGCGGGGTCCTGCCCCTGGTGTTTCCTCTTTGGGCACCTGGGAACAGCCCCAGGCTGCTCCAGCTCGGTGAGGGAGACCTCTGCCTGCATCTCGGAGCCCTCGTTGCCTTATCAGCACTCTGAACAACTTTGAAATAGGCCAAGCCGAAAGCACAGAGATAGCGTTATCTCCCTGCTCTCTGCATCTCCTCGCCCTTATCTCCAGCCTTTCAATTCCCCAAAGCGGCATCATGAGGCTGTGGACAGCTTGTGGGCTGGGAACTTGCCTGCTGCAGACCCGGCACAGCCCGGCACAGCCTGGCACATCTTGGCACAGATGGGCACGACACGGCATCAGGTCCACAGGGACCTCCAGGGCCATCTCCCACACCACCGGGGCTACCAGCCCTGCCGAGGGCTCGCCACCCCAGCTCATCACTGCCCTGACAGAGGGGCTCAGCCCTGGCCTGGCAGGGTGAGGAGCGGCTCCTGGGCAGCTCCAGTGGGGAGAAAATCCCTCGGGGAGTTTTCTTCCTCCTGGAGCGCTCAGGGCCCTGCAGCCTTTGTGTGCACAGCCCCAAGCAGGAGCCCGCGTCAACTCCTGGGGGCTGCGGTTCCTGCCCCAAACCTGAGCAGCCACGGCCTGGCCCCGTGTGCCCGGTGGATGCTGCTGGCCTCCTGGGAGAGGCTGGGAGCCGGGAAGGAAACGGAGCCGCCCCGGGCTCAGGCTGGGAGGGGTGGGACGCCTTCCTGCACGCCACAGCCCCCAGGATTCGCCCATCACTTGGGCTGGAACAAAACGCACCCACTGGGTGATGGAGAGCCCTGGCTGGGAGATACGGAGAGCAGCGGGTCAGCCTCAGCCCCAAGCTCGCAGCCCCAAGCTGTTTTTGGCAGGGGCTATGCAGGCAGGAGGGCACCCATGGGAGCTGCCCCCTCCAGGGGTGCTCTGGGATGGGGACGTGGTTCGGAGCCCCTGCCCTGCTCCC